TCCTTTTACTATATAGAGCTACTGTTATGAGTTACTACAGAAATCTTTAACAATAGAAAACAGTGAAAACACGAAGATTGGAAAGTAAATATTACAGTCACAAAAATGCTGTGAGCAGACGATATACCGCAGTGAATATAAGACTTAAGAAAACTATTCTGGGCTGCATTTCACACATCAAAAGCCCACAAATCTTTCAGAAGGCTCTGAAATCGAGTGCTGCAGTGTACTGCTGTAATTACCCAGCCATGATTATAGCACTAATTCAAGCTGTAGTGTTGTAATTATTCTGATATAAATGCCATCTCAGGGAAAGGGAAAATTGCATCTTGGTTAATGTGGCTTTGGATTGCTTGCATAAGTAAGCTATTTGGGATAATTCAGTGATGGGTACTATACCAAAAAGGCATTTAAGAACTAAGCAATCTCTGAAATACTTTTTCAGTAGTATTGCGTTAACAGCATTCCTTAACAATCATTTTACATTAAGTATTTTGCTAAATTCCACCTATCCAGTTGCAGCCCGGGGTACTTCCAGCAATTTTTCCTGGGCGTGGGTACTTATTTGCATCTATTTGAATTGAATGTATATATTTTTATATTTTTTATGTTCCTTGATGAAAATGAGCACCACACACTTCCAGGTAAGTTTTTATTGATAACAATATACAATTATATTGTTCATACGTTCAAAATATTACAATACTTTTGCATAGGGTGTTATGCAAAAGTAGCACTACAGAAAAACAAGTTCATTAGGGCTAGGTTCAGAAATCATGTAACATGATTGCTTGATTTTTTTTTTAAAGATAGTTACAGGACATCTGTTTTCACATTGCATAACATGAAACTTGGGATATTTTGAATGTAACTTTTTTTAATGGCACCTCTCTGATTTATATGTAAAGATGCTGTTCCTAGAATTATTACTAGACTAGGTTTAAATGGATATTCTTTCCAACTATAATCACATTCCACAAGTTCTGAGAAACTGTTTTGGATGCATCACACTTAAGCAAAATGTAAATGTGCAAAATTTTGTGTCATCCCACCTGGAAGGATCCTGAGATATCATAGAGCAGGGGTCCCCAACCCCTGGGCCGTGGACTGGTACTGGGCCGCAGCATGCCAGCAACCGGTCCGCACAAACAAGCAAAGCCCCATCCGTGGGATGCAGGCAGCACACAAAACCACATACTCTCCGGTCCATGAAAAAGCCTTTCTCCATGGAACCAGTCCCTGGTGCCCAAAAGGTTGGGGACCTCTGTCTTAGAGGGCAAATTGGGCAGGGGAGGGTTTGGATTATTGCCTTCTGCATCTGTGATGGTTTTTTCTTCTTTTTTTTTATTTTTTATTTTTCACCATACACCATACACCAAAATTACATAAACATAAATCTTTTCTTCTAACAGAACAGTGCTTTACATTTTAAATGTTCTTTACATCTTATTTACATTTTATATACATCAATAATTATATCTTTTTCTTTCTCTGTTCTAGCCAATTATAACATTTATTCCAAATTTCATAAAATTCTGACGTCTCCTTATCTTTTAGTTCTAACGTAAGTTTGTTCATTTC